GAAAAAGAGACCGCAGCTCCAGGGCATCCGAATTTAGCCTATGGAAGGGCCAGCATGTTCCGTCTCTCACTTTGAAGGTCTGATGAGAAGGGAATCCTGTCTCCAGCACTGACTGACTGAGGGACCAGTCATATTACTGTCTGGACCTCACTGTCTTCAACTGTAAAATGAAGCAATTATCATCTCAGGGCTGCAGTGTACTGAATTAACCACAGTGCCCGACACTCCAGAGGACTCCTTTTGGTCTCTTACTGACCGTTTGGGAACTCAGTTTAGAAGTAAGTCACATATGCCACAGTTACCAGAAAAATACATTCAGCCTCTAAGTTGAAGTAAGGACAATGGCATTTGATTAAGTGCCATGAGTGTTATATCCTTTGCTTATAAAGTGTTTACCCACATTAGCTGTTTAAAATGAACACACTGTGAACCCAACGGTAGCTACTGAACATGCTAAAATAACCTAACCACTGACTCATTCTGAGGGACCCAGATCCCGAAGAGACAAAAAAAAAAAAAAAAAAAAAACCATGAAATTAGCCCAATCCAGAGAAGCAATACTGAAATAGTGCTATGAGTCAGTATGAAAATTGATCAAAACAGAGTGTGTTTGAAGCTCGCTCGTTCTCTGAGTCCTGTAATTAACTGCTATTTTTTCACTTGGAGGTCTGCTTAAACATGGAAGGAAGGTCAGATTACATGGCACGAGGGCCTGCATCCCGGCTCTGAGTGTTTTTACCTCCACAGTTTCATCTCGGGTCAAATGAGCAGGACCCTTACACGGCGGCCAGTTAATATTTCACTGCTGGGCAGGGGTTGGAGCTGGGTGCTGGTGCAGCATCTGGAAGGGACACGTTAGTGCTCTAAAGGCAGCAGGGAGCAGAGCTCAGCAGCCAAGGGAGCAGAGCGTCCCAGTCTGAGGAGAGACAGAAGCACGCCTCGGTGACAGGAAGGCGTGCTACTGTTGGGTTCTTTGCACAAGGGGTAAAAAGCCCTCCCTCCGCCCCCGAACCTGCTGCTGCTACCCCACCTCTCAGGGCACTGATCTACACTGTTACCTGACATTTCAAGTTGACTGCAGTCCCTAGGTCATTTTCAGTCTTTCCGACAGTATCCGATAAAACACCTTGCAATTAAGGAGGAATCCTAAATGTTCTGTAATTATACAAGCATACCTGGGTTCCCCCACCCCCTTTTATGGACATTTATTATTATTATTATTATTTTAAGAATACTGGAACCAAGAGCCATCAAATATTGAACGTGAAGTTTAGAATGCTTTTTTGTTTTTGTAAAAAACACCGTGGTGATAAAGGCAGAGGTGCTTGGATACTGTTAGGTTTTTATTTCAGATGTCAGGGAGTGCAGTGAGCTAGTAGAGCCAATGAAATGAACAGAGAGTGGCTAATGACAGTGCTGGAATGAAGAGCCATTTCTAGTGTCCATAGAGTAGTCGGCATATTTCCCCACTGAAGTAGCTAGTACAAGGGTCTTCACATACCTGTCTATGCACGTCTTCATGTACATCTGTCCTGCTCATTTTGAATAGTGTATTCAGGTGTGTTTGTAATGACAGAACTAAAGGATCTGTGATAATTGTGAGGCCTTCGGCGCTTGAGAGGTACGCATCCCGACAAACCTTGTCGTCTGCACTGCATGCAGTCATCATTTGGGGTGACAGATACTATAATATGTCCCCAGTGATCAGAAGCAGGACTGTAGGACAGAAGACGGAGGGATCCTGCGGATGGATACCTGGGGAAGGCCCGTGGCCCTGCACTAGCCACTGAACTGTTCTGAGGGAGTCAACCTCCTCCCTCTCAGGAATGGCCGCTCCTGCCTCTCCCGGGTGTTAGTGAACACTGAAAGAGATAAGCTAGGTGAGAGTTTGGTGTGCAGGCACCCGGCGCTCCTCTTTGGGCATGCCAGTCACTGAAGCCTACAGATAAATGTGCCCTTGTGGGGTGGGGGTGGGAGATTCTACATGGAAGGAAGGGAAGTCTTTACCCTGATGGCAAACAAACCTACCCACGCATCTGACATGACATGAAGCAAAAACCTGACACCAAGAACTGGAAATTGAACTGAAAGTAGCAGTGGCGTGGGAGCTGGAGTGGGAAAGCGTCCCGGGGTAACGCCAAGCCCAGAAGCCTGCGCATGCCAAGCAGGTGCAGGGGTCAAGGTGGATTCCAGGGAGACTACAGAGTGAGTGAAGTGAGGTTGGCCGCCATGGTGCAGGGGAGGGTCACTCTGGGCTGGGCAGGTCCTGGTAAACTCTGGATATTTCTCCCCTTACCTGGGAGAGCAGGCCAAACTGAGGGGAGAGACCCACACCAACTTGGAACTTTTACTCTGCACTCCAAGGCAGCTATTTCTAACGATGGGCCCACCATGGATCAATTCAGGGGGAGCAAGGACAGTGTCATTTTCTTTTTTCCCAGCTACATTATAAACCTGTGGGTCAAAAATGTGGAATGGCACTCTGGAATAAAATATAACTGAACAGCAGACAGAGCTCCTTAGCTACAGTGCTGTGTAAATATCTAGTTTACCTCTTCCTCTTCGGGGTTTCCTCTTCTGTAAAAATGGGGATGCCAGTATTACCTAAGACACAGGACTGCTCTGATTGACTGAACTACAGTTAGCCCAGGGCCCAGGAAGCTAAGCATGCCAACTTAGAAAGGGGACTTACTCTTGCACAAGCAGAGCTTATGAATAATTCAGCACCAAAATATTCTTTAATAATATGCAAGATGCAAACTTTTCGTTTTTTTCTAGGTTCTGTTGGAAAATGTAGAAACAGCTTTTTGATCAAATTTCTACTTTATGCCTTTACATTTGTTTACAGAGATAATTATGGTGAATATTCTATAGTAATTAGAATTATAGCTATTGTTGGAAAATTCAATTATTTGACTCATGTGCTTTTAACTTTGTCTATCAAGGCAACTTCATCTAAGTAATTTAATTTAAAAACAAACAAACAAGCAAACAAAACCCCCCAAAACTTCGGTCTTTTAAATGAAACTTCCAGAAGCTACTGGCCATGCGTATTTGAAATTGCTTTAAATACATTTGGTACCACACAGTTTTAGCAATGTCCTTTAGAATTCCTGTAAAGCAAAGTTAAAAACAAAAAACAAAACAAAACAAAACAAAAAAAATCCCCCCAAAAACCACAACCACCCTACTTACGTTCACACTTAAAATACATTGACAAGATTCACAGAAAACCATAGCCAGGAACAACTCTCAAAAAACGGCTCATTTGATAATCTTGCCTACATTTTAATAAGGCGAGCCCGTATTGCAAAGAACTCGCAACAAAACATGGATGGTGCAAGGTTTAATGACTGACGGATGGGCGTCTGTAAATCACAGGACTTCATTTGCTGCAATTCAGAAAATCGTTTGGCCACCAAACGAACGTAAGCGGCACAACTCCGCCACAGTGCACACAAGGCCCCTTTCTGGGCGCCGCTTTTGCTTTCCCTTTTCTTTTATTTTTTAAACTTTCTCCCCCCAGTACGCAGACACAGACGGATGCTGACTATTTCTTTGCCCTGGCGCAGGCTCCCTCCTCCTGCGTGCGGGCGGCCGCGGTCCCCGCGGGTACCGGGCCCGGGGAGCCGTCCCCGGAGCCCCGCAGCGGGCGCCCACGCAGCCCGCCCGCATCACGAGCGGGATCCCGGGATCGGGGCGGGTCCCACGGCCGGCTCCTCCCCCGCACCACTCCCCACTCCCCGCACGGTGGGCGCCGCGCCACGACGGTTCCGCCCCGCGTGTGGGTCCCGCGGCCGTGGACGCCGCCGCACCCCTCCCTCCCCCCCCACCCGCGGCCCCGCTTCCCCGCTTCCCACGCAGGCGCGCGCGCTCCGGGGGGCGGGGCGGCGGCAGGCCCCTCCCCCGACAGGGCGGGGCGGCCCTCGGGAGAGGGGGGCGTGGCCACAGCCCGGGACACGCACGCTCGCTCGCGCTCGCTCGCGCGCGCGCGCGCACGCGCTGTGGGTCTCAGGCAGGGGCTACGTGTCGGGCCACGTGACGCCCACCCGCGAGTGCCCGCGGGCGAAGCAACAGGACGTTAGGGGGAAAAGATACAAAAGAGGGAGGCGCGCGTGCGCGTGCGCGCGTGCGTGTGTGCGCGTGCGCCGCGACAGGTTCCACACACACACACACGGACACACGGGGGAAAGACCCACAACCATAGCCTCGCGCGGGGACGCCAGGCCGCGGCGAGCCGCGATCGGCCGCACGCACGCCCGCCCCGTCGGCCCCGGCCCCGCGCAGGCCGCGCCCCGGCTCTCCGTGCGCCCCGGGGCCAGGGGCGGCGGGCGGCGGGCGGAGCGGGCAGCGGGGAGCGCGCCCGGCCCCGTAACGGCCGCCTGCCCCGCCTGCGCGGCCCCGCCCGCCCGCCTTCCCCGCCCCCGGCCCGGCCCGGCCCCGCCCGCCCCGCCCGCCCCGCCCCTCCCCCCGCCGCCGCCGCCGCCGGCAGCGCCGCCTGAACTGAGGCGAACTCCGCCGCCAAGTGAGTGAGGAGGAGGAGAGCCGCGGAGGAAGAGGAGGAGCGCAGTCGGAGCGCGGCGGCGGCGGCGGCGGCAGCGGCGAAGGCGAGAGGCGAGAGGCGAAGGGAGGCGACGGCACCGCGGAGCGCCCGCCGCGCAGGACCGGACCGCACCGCACACTCGCGAGCCCCGGCGCCACCGCCACCGCCACCGCCACCGCCACCGCCACCGCCTCCTCCCCGGCCCGGCTTCCTCGCGGCGCCGCGGCCCCCGCGCCGCTCCCCGGCCCCGCGCCGCGAGACCCGCCTCCGCCTCCGCCGCCGCCGCCGCCGCCGGCCTCGCCAGGGAGCCGCGCCGGGCGGCCGAGGAGCGGCTGCGGCCGCGGCGCGTCGGGGCCGGGCGGGAAGTGCGTGCGTGCGGGCGGGCGGGCCGGGCGGGCCGGGCGCGCGGAGCCGGCCGCCCCGGGGCTCGGCGCGGGAGCCGGAGCGGAGCGGAGCGGAGCGGAGCAGAGCGGAGCGGGACGCCGCGTCCCGAGCGGCCGGCGGCCGGAGCTCGCCCCCGCCCCTCCCTCCTCTCCCCCGGCGGCGGCGGCGGCGGCGGCGGCGGGCGGAGTGAGCTGCGGAGCCTGGAATATGGTCGGGGAAATGGAAACGAAGGAGAAGCCGAAGCCCACCCCGGATTACTTGATGCAGCTGATGAACGACAAGAAGCTCATGAGCAGCCTGCCCAACTTCTGCGGGATCTTCAACCACCTCGAGCGGCTGCTGGACGAAGGTGAGCCCCCCGACCCCGGCGGGAGAGCGGGCGGGCGGGCGGGCGGGCGGCCCGGGGCGGCGGGAAGGTCAGGCGGGCGGGCGGGCGGGCGGGAGGGAGGGCGCACAAAGGCGGCGCGGGCGGCTCGCGGCGGGCCGGGGTCGGGGCCCGGCCAGGCCCGAGGGCGGACCCCGGGGGCTCGCGGGGCGGCGGGGCCGGCTCCCGACGGTGCGGCCGATCCGGCCGGGCCACGCGAGTCCCCGAGCTCCGCCTCGCCTCGCCTCGCCCGCGGGGCCCCGGCCGATCGGCCCCGGGCCCGTGGAGTTGTGTGTCCCCGCGGGTACGGGGCTGCACTCCCGGGTGTCCACAGATGAGGGAGGGGACGGGAAAGTAGTGCTTATGCGGCCGAGGCCGGGGTGACCGAGCCGGGCACTTGTTCTGTCCTTTGTTTAGGGAAGCAAGAAGTGTTGGGAGTTTAACTTCACTTTTTTTTTTTTTTTTTTTTTTTTTGTGGTGGTGGTGGGGGGGGGAGGAGTACGAAATACCGCGATGACAGACCTGAACGGAATCCGAGTTCGGGAGAACTAACTGGGGCGGAGGGTTAGCTCCCGGCGTCGCCGCCCGCGTCCGCAGGGCGGGGAGCTGCAAGTTTGAAAGGACGAGGATCAAATGGAGCGAAAGTTTGCCGAAGCCGGGCGGGGAGCGCTGCGGGGAGCGGATAGTGGCTCTAAGATGCGTGCTGGTCAGCTCTGGAATCCCTCTAAGAACTTCTCGCTGCAGCGACCTGCAGTGTTAGTTTTCAGGGGCCCGGGCGGCGTGCGGGGCAAGAGGACCAACAAGTCCATTTTGAAAATGGTGTAGCGGGGAGTCTCCACTGGGGCTCTCTAATGGAACCCGAAAACTATGCTGCTGGGCAGAAGAACAATGGATCTTAGGATCTTGAGAAGAATCTCGAAATACTTTCAAATATAGCTAGAGAAATCAAAATTTGTGCTCAAGGAGCCGGCGTGTCAGGGAAGAACAAAAGGCTGTGAATACCTCCGAGCTAAAGGGTGGTGGGGAGAATCTTTCTAAGAGCTTCTTTTGGGTGGGGAGCCACCGGCAGGACTTCAAACAGAAAGCACTGGGCTGTGACGCATGAGCATGCATCCAGCAGTAACACGTACGAAAAGGGGCCTTTTCCACTGTTGGGTCCGCGTGCCTGTTAGTCCCAGATGCCCGGGGGAAAGCTTGAGCTGCCCCTTTAAGGGGTTTTGCCTTTCCTATTTGTGTTGGCATTTGAAAGATTGTGGAGGCAGAAAACTTTCTGGAATGTCAAAAAAAAAAAAAAAAAAAAAAAAAAAAAAAGGGGGGGGGGCGCTGGAACTCTTAAACTGAGTATTTCCAAATGTGAGCGCTAAGGGGCGCCAGCTATTTTTTTTAACCTTGGAAATGTTTGGAACAAAATGTCTAGCGTGCTTAAAAATCTGACCTATATTGAGTAGAAATTTAAATTTTAGGTGACTTCACCTGTCATTATTCACAAATGTGATTTCACAGAAGACACCTAATATACTATTATTTTTTTTACTTAGTGTATTGGTTATTTTTGTGACATTAGTGTTAAATTTATGATGAAAATTAGTTTTTTTTTAACAAGCACAGTGTATGGGGACTCTCATACACCTACACAGCATTTAAAATGAATTACAGTGCATTCTTAAAATGCTCTGTATACTCAAGTGCCTGGAGATTGTAAAACGTTAGGAGATGCTATGTAGAAAACTAGTAGGAGTTTCTTCTATTAGTTTTAAAAGGCTGCTCATGTGGGCCTTCAGACTGATCAGATATAACCACCTTAGTTTGAGGTTGGCATAAATCAGCTGGAGGAATTTCAATTATGTCATTGTTTCTGCACAGGCTTGTTTATGACTGTCTAGTTAGAAATAGTAACCCTTTGTGTTTCAAATGTAGAAGAAAGTTTAGGATCACAGCATTAAATAATGTATATTTTTTCATTTTTCCTTTTCATGTTTTCTCTGTCTCTCACCTCAGTCTGTCTTCTGTTCTTGGGGTTCTCTGCATCAGGCCAGTGTGCAGAGAGCTTCCATGCTGTAGGTAGGGAGTGTGCTTACAATGGACTCAGAGTGAGTACGAAGTGTGATTGTTCTCAGCAGACCAGAGCAAACTTGGCAGGGCAGGGTCTAGTCCTTAGTGTGTTATAAGCTTTTCCCTGTACTTGTTAGGGTTATTATGGATTTAATTTGATTTGAAAATACTGGTTTCTTAAGTGCACCATCATAATTTTCTTGCTAGATGACTTAATAGTGAAAATTGGCAACTTGTGCTTTACCCCCTTGTGGCCTCTCATTGTCCAAAACAAATTAATCATGACTTCTGTTTGAAGTCAGAGGTTACACTCTCCATTGTTTGTAATGCTTGGCAGAAAGATTACTTTGAAATTCATATAAAACTAAGTTTCACTTTAAGGACTAAATTGTTCAGTGACAGTGAGCTAGTCTCTCTGATAATTAGAAATTGTGAATGGGACTGCCTAGCAATTTTAGCTTTAAAATACTTTCAAGCAGTGAGCTTTTAACATATAGTTAAATTTCAGTTGAGTAACAAATTTAGGAATGAAGTCTTGTGTTTTTTTCCTACTTGTTAAAACTTGAATGATATAGAAAGAGTACATTGATTCTTGCCAGCGTTAAGTGGCCTGTAGTTTATCTAGGTAGTCAGTTCCTGTGTTGTTGGCTATTGATTCCATTTGGTGAGTTGTACCAGTCTTTTATCTTTAGCAGGGCTGTTTTTAAAGTTTGAACACATGTTGTAGGCCAAGTAAGTTCTGAAATAAAAGACAGAACTTGAGTTAATGCTTCTAAGACTCAAAGATTAGCCCTGAATCACAATACAATGTGGATCTTAAAACTGCTTTCTCTTCAAATTTTAACTGACCCTCCATACCATCTTTAGGAAAGAACAGTTACACACAAGTTGTTTTAAAGACTTTGTCATGAAAGTGAAACTCCAAAATTAGTTGAATGAATGCAAAACATGTTTTTTAAATAAACATTTTTGCAATATAGTGTTGAAACTGAACAATAAAAAACAATACAGAAAAATATCAAGTAGAGGAAAAGAGAATGTGATACTTAAACTGCACATTTTGAGTTTTAATTCATTAGGCAGACTTATGAGTGAGAGAAGCTGCTTATGTGAAAACAAGAATTGTGTTGTTTGGTAAAAAGGACAGTGTTGAATCTTTATGAGTGCTGTCAGAAAACCTGGACTATAATTCAGGAAAAATGAAGAAATGGGTTACATTCTACATTAATGGCTTGAAAATACTTTCAATTCTCAGATAATCCCTTTTTATAATAAATATTCCAACTCCCTTAAATTTGGAGAGTATTTTTAATTCAGATTGGCGTTGTTAGTTTTCTTCCCTACCCATGTTTATCTTTGAGGGTGTGTTCATTGTCACACAGGTTATACCTTTCCTTGAATTTTTACTTTCTTTCTTTTTGGGAAAACTTGTTTGTTCATAAACACTGGTTTAAAACTTTGCATAGAAGACTTAGGTTGTATAGTTTGTTAAATTTTTTTATTTTATTTTATTTTTTTTTTTTTTGTCTAAAAAAGCATTATTTGTGAGAAACAGATTTTATTTAAGGTGGGGTGACGAGTCTGTTCTTTGTTCTTTGGGAGCCGAGGCACTGCTCTGTAGCCCTTGAAGAGCTGTAATAAGCTGGTATTTGTCGCCAGCTTTGTCCAGGATGCTCCTCAGCAGAGGTCATGGCTCTTGTGGGTACGGTGGAAGCAACCCACCATGCATCACCCACCATGTCACTTACTCTGCTTTCACACTGCACTTGGCACCTTGACTTCTGTAGAGGAGGAGGGTGGTATGGTTCTTCAAGCCTTTCATAATTAAGGGTGTACTGTTAAATGCACAACACAATTTAGTTTATTGTAGAAACTAATAAACTGTGATATTCACATTTCCCAGTGTATATGGATGCCCTTTCTGAAATAAATATGAGAATATCAAGTTCAGATAGTTTATTTAAGTGAGAGAGTGAATGTGTGCTATGATAGGTACCTTCAGAGCCATGTCCCAGATCTCTGTTAATTGTGGCCCTGTCACTGTCCTGGAACCAGAGTTTCATTAGTTTCCCATCTGATCAAGTGGTTTCTAGTATCCTAAAGGGAAACAGAGCCCTGTGACCAAGTGAGACAAGCCTATTAAGTGTTGCTGAGGCCATTAGTAAAACAGGGTTAAGAAGCCCCCTTTTTTCAGCTAGTGTGTTTAGGTGGGTAAGTTTTTATTTTTATTTCTGGTAGTAAGGGAATTGATTAGCTTGTTAGAGGATGCAGTTGTAAGCAGAAATTACCCTTCTGTCTGAAATGGAATGTGTTGTGACATTGGGCTTTGTTGATAACTGAGAAGATAAGGCACGAGCAGCTCTCTGCTCTCAGTGTGTCATCTGTTGTCAGGGTAGCTAAGAGTCTATTTTAAGGCTGAGGGAGGAGGGATGATGAGGAAATGGACCCATGTTAGGAGGTCATGATTAGAACTATGTGCCAGTCTCTTTACACGGCTGACCTGACTACTTCCTTTCCTCTCCGTTCTTTATTTGACATTGAGACAATACAATAAGATTTTCCCCCCTTGCAATGAGCTCTCTTAAGAAGTTACATACTTTTATAAAAATTGACATTTATTTTTAATTTTGGGGGACTGAGATTGCTTTTTTGATGCCCAAGTGAGGTTAGTTGTAGCATTATTTTCACTAGATATGAAAGCAAAATAAGCAGAGCACTAAACTTATAAATCAGTATGGTTTGTTTGTTTTCCTATATAGATAGGAAAAAAAGGTCTGTAAACACACCATTTTCTGTCTGGTGCTACGTTTTAATGTAGTTATCTCCATAGATCTGATTTGTTTCTGTATGTTTTGCTATAGAAGTGTCTAACTGCTTGTGTCCAACTCAGAACTTGGTAGCAGATACTCTCATGTTTGAATTTAAAAACACAT